TGGCTAACTGATTGGAAGGGATCCGTATTTGTGCCCATTCCAAAGAGACATGACCCAATAGAATGCAGAACTCATCAGACAGTATCTTTGATATCCCATGAGAGTAAAGCAAAGGGGTAGAGAGGAAAAAACCAGTCCTATCTGGTTTCCAAACTGGGAAATAGTGGAATGACTTGAGCCCTGAAAAATATTCTTCTGTCAAGCCTATCCATAGCAAAGTCGTTACCCAAAAGGAAGTTAGGATCATAGGAAAAGGGCAAAGGAAGGTCAAATGGTTAAAAACTCAGCTACACAGATACATGCACATACATTAACCACCATCTCACTGACTGATGATTAGGTTGTTGAAAAAAATAACTGTTAAAAATAATTCTGCAAAAAAACACACACCCCAAAACAAAAAACAAACATCTGTGTATGCGTCTTCTTAAGCACATGTGAGTCCTGGTGTGGCACTCTAGGATAAGCACTGGACTGCTAACTGCAAAGTTGGTAGTTCAACCCCACGAGCCACTCCTTGGAAACCCTATATAGGGTCACTATGAGTTGGAGCTGACTCAATGGCACCTAACAACAACAACAACAAGAAGCCTATGTGAAGTTTTTTTCTAGTATGTTACTGCTGCTGTGTGCCCTTGAGTTGACTGACTCATAGAGAGCTTATAGAGGGCTTTCAAAGTTACAAATTTTTCCAGGAGCAGAAAGCCTCATTTTTCTCCCATGAGGCAGCAGGTAGAGTTGAACTTCTATATTGAAGTTAGCAGCCAAACAAGTTAACCACTATGTACCAGGGCTCCTTTTTCTAGTATGGATACCTAGAAAAAATTATGTCTTTATGAATTTTAACTGTTAATGACTCTTGACAAATTGTTCTCCAATAAATAGCATCATGATAAATGGAGAAAAAATTGAAGTTGTCGAAGACTTCATTTTGCATAGATCCACAAATAGTATTCATGGAGGTAGTCAAGAAATCAAGGACATATTGAAAATCTGCTGCATAAGAACTCTTTAAAGTGTTAAAGAGCAAAGCTGTCAGTTTGAGGATTAAGGTGTTTTCACTCATCTTATATGTGTGAGAAAGCTGGACAATAAATGAATAAGATCAGAGAAGAATCACTGTGTTTTAATTATGGTGTTGATGACGAATATTCAAAGTATCACGAACTGTCAGAAGAACAAATAAATTTGTCCTGGAATAAGCACAGCTAAACATAACGATTGTGAAGGTGGTCCAGGACAGGGCAGTAAGTCGCTGTGGGCATAGGGTTGCTGTGAGTCGGTGCCAACTTGATGGCACTTAACAACAACAACAACAACATGATGGCACTTAACAACAACAACAACAGCAACATATGCATGTGAAATTTGGACAATGAACAAGGAGACCATACAGGAACTGAGACATTTGAGTTATGTTGTTGGAGAACATTAAAAGTATCGTGGACTGCCAGAAGAACAAACTATCTGTATTGGAAGAAGTATAGCCAGAATGCACCTTAGAAGCCAGGATGGCCAGACTTGATCTCTCATACTTTGGACCTGTTATCAGGAGGGACGAGTCCCTGGAGAAGGACATCATGCTTGGTAAAATGGAGGGGTCAGCGAAAAATAGAAAGACCTCCAACGAGATGGATTGGCACAGTGGCAGCAGCAATGGCTCAAGCGTAACAATTGCGTAAATAGCGCAGGATCAAGCGTGCGTCATTCTGCTCTTCATAGAATTGCTATGAGTAGGAACCAATTGGATGGCACTTAACAATAACATTCTTGAGCTCTCATCAGGAAAGAAACCTTAAGAGAAGTCTGCAAACATAAAGATGATCTGCAAACATAAAAAAAAAAGTGTAGCATCATTTGCGACACTGAGCAAGCATAAAGAGTTGAAGTATTTTAAAACAGGTGCATTATGCTACATCAGTTGGATATTTATTATATGAACATTAAAAATGAGATTTAACTAAATGCAACATCATACTTTAGATAGCCTGGAACAGAAAAAGGACATTACTAGAAAAATCAGTGAAACCCAAAGAAAGACTGTAATTTAGTTAGTAGCATTGTTATGTGCCTGTGTACCAGTTGGCTGAATATTGAGCTATGAGAGTGAGTTCAGCTCATCATTTGAATTATTGACTGCTGCTTCCATGGGTGGTGATTGTGAATCCAAGTAAAAAATAAATCCTTGACAACTTCTATCTTTCCTCTGCTTATCATAATGTTGCTTATTATGGTCCAGTTGTGAGAATTTTTATTTTCCTTATGTTGGCGTATAATCCATATTGAAGGCTGTCATTCTGTGATCTTCATTACTAAGTGTTTCAAGTCCTCTTCATTTTCAGCAAGCCAGGCTGTGTCATCCGCATACCAAAACCTGTTAATCGTGTTCCAATCCTGATGCCTTTCTCCTTCTTTAGCCCATCTTTTTGGATTATTTGCTCTGCATACAGATTGAATAAATATGGTAAAAAGATGACCCTACCTCACACCTTTCCTGGTTTTAAACCATATAGTATCCTTTTATGGACTTCTGGTATGGAGCTGTAGGATAAACACTGGACTGCTAGCTACAGGGTCGGTGGCTCAAACCCACCAACCACTCTTCAGAAACCCTATACAGGGTCATTATAAGTAGGAACAGACTCAAATGCATTTGACAACAACAGTATCCCATTGGAGTCCTAGTGTGGCACTATAGGATAAACACTACACAGCTAGTCACTGGGTTGGCAGTTCAAACCAACAAGCTGCTTCTGGCGAACCCTATACAGGGTCGCTATGGTTGGAGCCAACTCAACAACACTTAACAACAACAACATTTTATTATTCTGTTGGAACAGCTGCCTCTTGATTTATGTACAGGTTCCACATGAACACAATGAAATATTCTGGAATTCCCATTCTCTGCAACACTTCCCTAAATTGTTAGGATCCACACAGTTGAATGCCTTTGCACTGTCAATAAAACACAGGCAAACTGTTTTTCATATCCCTCATTCCACATCCTCTTCTGAATCAGGATTGAATTTCTGGCTGCTCCTTCTAGATATACTGCTACATTTGTTTTTGAATTATCCTCAGCAAAATTTTACGTGTGTGTGATATTAATGGTATTATTTGATAATTTCTGCATTCTATTGGATCACCTTTCTATGGAATGGG